AACAGTCTTCCAATATCTCAGGAGTTGCCACAAAGAAGAGGGAGTGACACTATTCTCCAAGGCACCAGAGGATAGAACAAGAAGCAATGGGTGGAAACTAATCAAGGAGAGAAGCAATTTAGAACCGAGGAAAAAATTCCTAACAGTTAGAACAATTAATGAGTGGAACAGCTTGCCTCCAGAAGTTGTGAATGCCCCAACACTGGAAGTCTTTAAGAAGATGTTGGATAGCCATTTGTCTGAAATGGTATAAGGTTTCCTGCCTAGGCAGGGGGGCTGGACTAGAAGACCTCCAAGGTCCCTTCCAACTCTGCTATTGTATTTGTATATGCAGGGAGTCCTTTTCTTACGACTATAATGGAGCCTGCCCATCACAGTTGTCATTCGTGATAGTCATAAAACAGGTCACTTACATGACTAGCCTTATTTTACAATCTTTTATGCAAAGATAGATAAGTGAACACCATGGTGGTTTAGCAAACCATTGATTCGCTCTGGACCAGTTTAGCCCCAAACTGGAAGTAAATGATTGCTAAGTACCCAGGATGCGGTCACATGACCTCAGGGGAGCATCGGAACTTTGAATGTAGGTTGTGAGTATCTCCAGAAGGGAGGTCCGTTGGAACTTCAAATGGTTGCTAAGCAACTGGTCATAAATTGAGACTACCTATAATCCAGAATATCTAGAGGACACTTAGAAGGGCAGAACTGAATTTGATACGAGAAATGAAAATTAATAGATGAGGAGAGAGTGTTAAGATTCAGATTTGAGAGAAGATCAATCTACTTTCAAACTTTAAATTCTGTAAAAGTTGCCAAGTTTGGGGTCCTTTATGGTCTCTGAGCTTGATAGCTTTTTTTACAGACATTTCTTTACCAAACTAGGTAACATCATCAGTGTTATCTAAAACTAAATCCCAGAATCGAAGAAGCACAGGAGTCTCAATGGATGATCAACATGTCCAGTCATCCACTATTTACTGCAAAACACAAAATTTTACAGAGAGGCTTCTTCAATACAGGTGATGCTAATCCACTAAAATTCTAGAAGGAACATTTAAAACCAGTAGCCCTAATGATGTTACCTAGTTTGGCAGTGAAACGTCTGCAAGAAAAGCTGCCAAGCTCAGAAAGGATCAAGGACCCCACAGCTCAACCCTGATCTACACATATTCTCTTCGATGCTATGTACGCAGACTGAAAGATTAATTACAGGTTGTTGTTGTTGTTTTTTTCATTTCAGTTTTTTGGAATGCTTGGGATCTGCGTGTTAGCCTGCAAGAAGGAAAACCAAGGGTATCAGTCCCTGAGCACCAGAGTGTTTGCCTGACCAAGAAATAGAGGACTTTTCCCTTTGGGATCTCCATGAACAAAAAATGGAAAGATCTTTTGAGCCTACTTTTTATGAAGTCCCAAAGGAGATTACACTGGCTTTCATAAGTAATATTAAAGGTGAAATAGTTGGCATTAACATCCTGATAAACCTGAGATTTGTCTGAGGTAGTTGAAATTAAGGTGCCCTTTTTTTTAAACAGCAGATGGAGACATTCACCAGAAAAGGCAGACCAACACTTGCGATTCCAGTGTGTGATATAATTTGTGAATCTATCCTTGAAGAGATTTAAAGAAATTATTTTTTTACCCACAGCACACTTTTTCCCTGATTGGCTGGGCCATTGGCATATGGTAAAGGGCTAGGTGCTTATAGCAAACCTCTAAAAATCCAGCAGAAATGGCTAAATGTTAGACATGTTGAAATCTACTCGGAGATAAATGTTGAGAACCTAGCATGCCTTGGATTGAAGCTGGATTCTTCTCCCAAGAGAAATTGCAGGTTTGAATGCTGACAATTTCTTTTACTTTAGACTGACATTCTCTAGAGTAACTTGGGAGATTTAGACATAGGCACAGTTCATCTCAGAGGGACCAGCTTTTCTAACAGAATATCCATTAAATTTCTGACCGTATGAATTCTTTTGCTCAGAAGTTGTGTTAGGTTAGAAATGAATATAAGATTCCAATTTTTTTAGCTCATGATGATGAATTCTGGTCGTAAGGGTTCCCCAAAGTGACAATTCATATAGGGGAAGCACAATAACATAATCCCTAAAATAGGCTTCAGGTTGTCCAAACCTTGGAAACTTTCAAATTTGTGGACTTCAACTTCCAGAATTCCCCAACCACCCATACCTGCTGGGGAATTCTGGGAGTTGAAGTCCTTGAGTCTTAAAGTTGCTAAGGTTGGACACCCCTGTTTTAAGCAAAGGAAGTTACTCTTCTCTAAAAAACAATCATAGCTTTATCTCTGGGGGGAAAAAATACGCTTTGTTACCATCCTTAGTTCTGCTCTGTCAAAACTAAGTACAATTCCCAGCTATAAATTTGTTGAGCTACAGAACAAAATCAGAAATGCAGGAATCCTTCAGAAGTGATGAATTAATTACTTATTCTCAGCCATATCTGCACAGAGTAGTTATGTATTCCAGAGATACCAGAAGGCTGATATAGGTGAATGTGGTTTACTTTTTTAGTCTTTATTCACTGGATGCTCCAGTTTAAATACAGTCTATTTTTGATCCCAATAATCCAGTATGCAACGCAGTTGAGTAAAATTTCAGGATGTGCCTGGAAATATATTAAAAACATGATGCTACTTTCATTCCAATAGCAGCTGATGATTATTCCGCGTTTTTGGATGGCATTAAAACAATTTCTCCAGATGAAGGATGTTGACTTGCTGGGCCATGTATTCTTCATTTTTTTGTCATCTTACATAGCATATGTGTTGCTGGGGCGAAAAGCAGCAGTTTTTGTTTCTCAAACCATTTATATTTAAATTTTGAGTATTGTATGGCTACTTAGATTACATAAAGAGCCTCCTAAAACCTAAATAAAAATTTCAAAAAAAGTGCAGTATTTTATTTCATTTGAAAATACAAGGAAAATTGAGAAAGCCAGAGTGTAAAATAGTAACAACAAGCACACTAAGATACTTTAGCTAAACTTCTGATGACTTCACAGGCAACTTGGAAAATATAGAAGGACTTTGCTAGTGTCCTGTTCTAGAATTATCCCCCCCCCCCCGCGCAATTTTTAATGCATTTTCTGGGTTTCTATCATACATAGAAGGGCAAAATATTCAATGACTTTTTGACAATTTGCTGTGGAATTCACCTACCACACACAATAAAGTCTCCAAGATGAATTTAGGTCTTCGTGACTCCACTTACACTTCCATGGAGCTGGCAGTATGGTGATACTATGTAATTGCTAACTTCTTGGTTTTTTTTAAAAAAAACAACATCCTAGTCTAATTTTGAATTCTGGAATCACTTGGTGGTCTCCCATCCAAGTGCCAATCAGATCCATCCCTCAAGAGTTTCAGAATCCAGCCAAGGTCTGCCAGGGACAAATGATGAAAATGAGGAAAGAGAAGCAAGATGATCATATTACAGCAAATTCCTGGATCATCTTATTTATTTGCTAAGGTTGCATTCATACAACCCATGATTGAACCAGTCCTTATGTATTGTGCATAAAACATCAAACCACAGGCTATCCAATGAATTGCAAAGGCACAAGAAACACAAAAGACCCAGTTAAAATGAACAATATTGTTTCAATGCAAGACTAGATTTTTTTTTACGTTATATGTGTTTGGATAAGTCCAGTTTACACCTAAGAACTGCTGAATGATTTTGCTAAGCTTTCCAAGTAACTTGGAAACTGGTTGCGAGCAAATGACCACTAGACTTCAGCACTCCCTTTGCTTGAATACTGGAATCGTTGCGTTCCCAGTTTCACCGCTCACTTGAGGCTTCTATTCAGCTATAACTGCATTGTAAAGCTGAATAGGGACACAGATTTTACTGCTCAGACTTCCGGTTGAGTGTTGCTGCCATTATAAACAACAGTTGCAGGAAATGGGCCTGGCTAAGGCTAGTGAAAAGAAGGACTAGGGATGACATGATAGCAATGTTCCAATATTTAGCAATAGCAATAGCAGTTAGACTTATATACCGCTTCATAGGGCTTTCAGCCCTCTCT